TCATAGCAAGCTCTGGGACCTGAAGACTTATTAACTTATACACAACTGCAGGTTTTACATTTAAACATATTTACCTATTGGATTGACATGACCCCAATATGTTTCCGGTTGTGGGTGGACTTCAGGATCTCCATACACTTCGGATGTACTTGCTATTAGAACTTTAGCACTGACTCTTTTGGCAAGACCTAACAAACAGATATTAGCATAAAAAATCTTTTACATATAATGCTTTCCAAAAAGGCTGATCGTACCTAACATGTTAATAGTTCCTAAGGTGTTTGTTTTTATAGTTTTAACAGGATTATACATGTAATGAGGAGGACTAGCAGGACTTGCTAAATGATATATTTCATCTACTTCTATGTATAATGGATTTACAATATCGTGATGAATCAACTCAAAATTTTCATGTCCAAGCCAATGCTCTACATTACGTTTGCGACCTGTGAAAAAATTATCTGCGACAATAACTTCATGGCCTTGCATCATAAGAAGATCTACTAAATGAGATCCCACAAAGCCTGCACCTCCAGTGATCTGAAACCCATAATACAACTTATTATATGTTAGTTTGAGGAATAAATAATAAGAGCACTGTAAGATGTCTCACTTACTAAAATTCTCTTTCGAGCTTGATAATTTAAGAACCTGACATCAGGATGTTTTTTCGGCATACGTGCTTCCAACTCTCGCAATTTGCTTTCCAGCTCGAAAATTCGTTTTTTAGCCTCATCCATGTTCTTAACATTGTTATCTACTGCTCCAAATGTTTGGGATTTGTATATGTCATTTTCCTTGGGGTTATCGTAATAATCTATGACTTTCGCCTTTTTCTCAACGACATTTTTTTTATTGATTTCATTGGAGTATGATTCATTGGCAAATGTTTTGTATATACCTAAAACTAAGAGTACTATAACAAAGATGTATTTAACAAAATTGAATGGTTTTAAGAAATTAACCTAAGAGAAGGCCTATAGTTATTATTATGACATTGCGAAGTTTTTTACGACAAATAAACATAATTTATTAATTATCGGCTTCATTTATTCTTGAACATTGTTTTTCAAATTGTGCTTTTTTGGTGTTCACTTCGGTGTCACTCAGACATTTTGACATTGTCATAAATGTCAAATGATAAATGTCAGAAACTCATTGTCAGTGTCACACACATGCCTTAAGGTGCGTCCACACCTAACGAACGAACACGAACGAACATAAAAGAACGTACCAGAACGAACGGCAACAGCATAGTGTGGACGCCACAACGAACACGAACGAACATAAACAAACATGGCGAGCAATGTTCCGCAACTTGTCGGTACATCAAAGGGAATTGTTCGTTCATGTTTGAACTCGTATGTGCAGTGTGGACGCTACCACGAATGTAGACAAACATTTTTCTTTTTTGGTGTTAAAATGTGCATTAATGCATTAATTTATGTTGTATTTATTACAAGATATTGCTGTTATTGACAAATTTTGTAAATTTGATGACTTTAAATAATTTTTCTCTTTCCCGCCACTTTAAATAATAAATCTGACGTTTCACGGTACATCCTCGAACAAAAAGATTCAAACCCTCACTGCTTTGAGGCGTTTGTTTGGAATTTTTCGCGTTCGTTCGTGTTCCTGTTCGTTCTATTTTGTATTTTCTTGTTCGACATGTTCGTTCGTGTTCGTTCGTTAGGTGTGGACGCACCTTTACTCTTCTTTTATCTATGTGCCTTACATTAGATTAGAATATAAATATATAATATTCTATAATGTCTATTAACAAAAAAAATTAGTTAAATTAGGTCATTTTGTATTTTGCTCCGAAATATTCGATTTAAACGAATATATGAGCGACGAGTGACTTTTTTTCGGAGTTTGGTAGCCATGGGTGAAACAAACTGACAGGACGGTTTACATCTGAAATCTGTCAGAACTCGTTTATATTTTTTATTACTATTTGCCTTAAAAAGATCAGCATGTTTATAATTGTGCTTTTTTATTTTATAATTTGTGCTAAAATTATGAGACGTGTCAGTGCCGCCAAATCATGTCCTTACAATAAAACCAACAAGCAGAAGGATGAAATATTCAATTATTTGTTGTTCCGAAGAAATTTTGAAGTTAACCAGGTGAAAAAATATTCGATGTAATAGAAAACGCAATTGTGTAAGTATTCCTGGTCAACATAATCTATTTACAGGCAACAAATACATGTTGATACAAATTTAGCATCCACACACTAATGTTATATAAATTGATTTGATATGATGTGCTAAATAAAATTGATTTTACTTAATTTCTTTACATTCTTTTCTAGATTCGGATTGGTTGCACATCCAGTGGCTTTATATTATTAGTAGGTGATATGACACTCAAACTTCTGTACTGGAAATGCTGTATTCGCTGAAAAGTAAGTTCAACCATACTTATTAAACTCTTAGTTACTAAAAGCTGCTAAAATGTTAAACTTTTAAAATTTACAGGATATTCAACAGGTTTGTCAATGCAGATAATAAAAGTTCATTGAAACTCTCGGAGATGCTGTATTAGCTGTTAAAAGTTAGTTCAACTTTAGTTACTAAAAACTATTAAAATATTCAATTTTCAAAGTTTTCAAAACTTACAGAATATTCAAAAGTTTGTCAATGCAGATAATAAAAGTTCATTCAACACTTCAGTGTTGAGTTTGTGGACTGTTAAGATTTGGTTTAAGTACACGATCCCAATTACTTCATCTTTGAAAGATAATTCAAATACTCTTCAGTGCAGTATAGAATTTTTTTTTTAGTAAAGCTGCTGAAACTTTTTGTATTAACTAAAATTCGTACTTTTCATCATGTGAAACACATTATTAAAGTTGCAGTACAATCAAATTTTTTTGTAATTAAATTTTTATCCACACATAGATGAGTCGATCAATGTTCAATTTGATAGAGTTGAATTATAATATTTGATTTTCATATATCTTCAATTATATATTACATACATTTCAAACTTGTATGAAATTTTCTAGAATTATTTATTAACATTGCTCTTTGTTTGATTCAAAATAATAATTGCTCCACAATTAGTTCTGAATGTGAATCATTTTTATTCTTGTTAAATTTGTTTATGCTCTTCGTAAGTACAATATGTTCATGATGCTTTAAATTTAAAGTAAACATTACTCTTTGACTTATGTATTATATCTTATTTATAATAAGTGGTCATAATCAAAATATGACAGTAAGATCTTTATAAGTTAATTCACAATAAGTAATGTAGTATTTATTATATACTATATATATAAAAGCTGATCACAGCATATTGTTTAATTCAACAAAGAATTCGGATATTAAAACTATCTAATATAATATTTGTCATTTAGTTTGGCATTATGAAATGCAGTCGATCATATATTTCATTAGGAAAATTCAAAATTCTTGTGGATGTGCAATGATTAACTCCGATCACTTGAAACTTTTAAATCCTAGTTTCTTCAGATATTGAGTGAATGATGAATACTTAAACTGTTAATAGTAGCTAGAACTGGCTGGTTCTTGCTAGTATTCGTCTTTAAAATTATTTGTCACTGATATTATAATTCGAGCGGTTTAGGCCTACAAAATACTAATTATTGTTTTGATTTTCTTAAAACTGCAATTCTGTATTTAGTAATTAGAGTAATGGTCTTTAACTCAGAAATTCCGAGTTCGATATATATCGATGTCCGCCTCGATCAGATCCTGATCAGAGTATAGTAAGGTCGGATTTCGATTGGAATTATAGAAAGTAATATGTTTTCAATTACCTCCTTCGGCATTTGGTGTGTCAATAAAAAAAATACTTCAGTATTACAGAAATTGTAATAATAAATTCATGAAAGGAGTAGGACAATCTTTTCAAATACCATTCATAAAGCAACGTTCTTTAAGAAGTCGGCGCAATAACTCATATGGCTTTGTTAGGTTCTAATTGCTGTTAAAATTAAGAGAAAAAAATATGAAAGAATAAATAAAAAAATCTATTGGTCGACAACATTGTTGTTTAAGGCAACTTGCTGGAACAGTAGGTAATTAAACATTCACGAAATAAAAATAATCAATCATTTATAAGAAATTGTCAATGAGTAATAACAATTGTTTTAAATATTTTAAAATAATCATTATAGATTCTGTGAATTTTATCGTTGAATTTCATAAATATATAAGAGTCAAATTTTATAGAAATAATATAAGTGCTCATATTTGGGCGACGACCTTCGATTATCTATAAGAAAGGAAACAAAGCACTTCTTTTCTTCACACCGTGGTACAAGCAATACGATTTTTGAATCACTCTAATCGGATACGCCGTTTTCTCATTTTTTGCGCTTTTTGTTCCGAATCTCCCAAACCGCTAGACCTGTGTATACAAAATATAAAAGATTGTTCACTCAATCAATACGAATCGAATGTTTGTTTAATCATGCTAATTGGTTGCGCCGTTTTTTCAAAAACTGGTTAATTTTGTGCTTTTTGCTCCTTATCTCCGGAAAGACTGGACTTACTAAAAACTAATTAGCAAATCTCTTTCGAATGTTTTTTTGAATCATTCAAATCAGTTGATTCGTGCTTTCGATATAGCGAAAAAATGCCTTGATGCTTTAATAAAATGGCAATTTATTTTAAAACTTTTGGCAACGTAATTTAAATAATTTAACGATTTGGTTCATATAATATTTAGTGTATTTTGAACACAACAATATTTATATATATACTTATATCATGCGATTTTGCCCTGTATATTTTCTGATGGCCATTCGCAATCTATGAGGTGAGCTTGAGCGTTCCCTTCTTAAAGCTCCTCATGCAACATAAATGTACGCTCTCACACATCCCATACTCTTATTTCGTATGCAACTGTCGAAGATTCAAACTTGTGGACCAAGTTACGTGATTAGTGCAATAATATCAATTGTATCTGTCGAACATAAAGATAAAATTTGTATTTTACTGTGCTTTGCAAGGAGCAGATTAAAAATGGTTAGAAAAAGTTTATTGGATATACAGAATGTGGTATGTAATAATTGAATTATAAAATATTATGTGCGTTGTTATAATTTTCTATATGTACATTATTTTGGTGTACACTTAGTTGACAAAATATATTTCATAAATTCATTCGTGAAAACTTCATGAAAATAATAATCCATTCAAAAGATTGCTACAATAGTAAAAAAAATCATGTAATTAATTTGTTCTCGTATATTGATATAAACATATCATTTTACTTACAAATGCCTACATATTATTATATTTTATATGCTCAAAAAATTATTTCATTTGTCAATTATAAATATTTTCTACGTTTCGAGGATGAGAGATGTCTTCTTCTTGAAGAACCATTAAAAACAACCAAAATTTTTGTGCATTTTTATATATGCAAACGTATTTTTCTTTACTTTTGTCTACAAATTCTTTATATATTTTTCTATTTTATGTGCCCAAAAAAATATTTCTTTTTTCATACATGTCTTTTCTACATTTCGGGAACATGAGATGTCCCTTTCTTCAGAAATCGTTAAAAATAAACACTTTTTTTTAATTTATACACTTTTTTTAATTAGTTCAATTACAATTCACATTTCATATTTAAATTATTGAAACCTGACTTTTTTCAAAAATAAGCACTTGTGCTATTAAATATAATAGATAAAACTTATCTATTTTATCTTTATATTTTAATACTCGAGCTATATATATATATATATATATATATATATATATATATATATATATATATATATATTAGGGTGGTCCTTAAAATGGTCATTTTCGAATTTCCTTGCTCCCAGGGGCTCAAATGGTTCCAAATAAATAAAAAACAATTCTATGAAAGTTTTAGCTCTTAATATTAACGTTTAGATAGAGCGCAATTCAATCAAAGTTTGTATGGAAAGAGCATGGAAAAAAAATTGAAAATTAAAAAAACGTGTTTTAGACGTAACTTAGCGACAAATGAATGAGTTTTATTCATTCATTTGTTCGCTAAATTACATCTAAAAAACATTTTTAAACTTTTTGAAAAATTTTCCATGCTATTACCATACAAAACTTTGATTGAATTGCGCTCTATCTAAACGTTAATATTAAGAGCTAAAACTTTCAGAGAATTGTTTTTTATCTATTTGGAACCGTTTGAACCCCTGGGAGCAAGGAAATTCGAAAATGACCATTTTAAGGACCACCCTAATATATATATATATATAATATGACCGTTATACAAATTTTCTGTTCATTGTGGTTTGTGTATGTGTGTGTGTTTTTTTTGAATAGTTTGTGTTTTTTATCCACTGAAGAAGGGTCAACCTGGAGTTCGAAACGTACGAAGGTTTTTCTTAAAATTAAATATAACTTAGTTTTTCCTTTCAATAACTGGATGAATACCTGTATAATGTGTGTTTCATCTTCACTAATTGCGTTTGATAAATTTTGACTTCCAATATTATATTTTATTGTATCAATTGAAACTAACTAACACAGAAAAACCATAAAAATATTGTCTTCCACAAAATATGCCATCCAAATATATTCGATAATAAATAATTTTGTCTTTAAAATATTGTAAATATAGTAATTTCAAGAATAAATTATATAGAAATTTGTCAAATGTGTGTATATGTGCATGTGTTATATATCTATTAATATTTACCTATGTTGTTAACATATTTCACTCTTTTTTACATATTACATGTCTGATATACTTATGAACTATTATAAAATTATTTAAATAAAAAACCGGAAGTCTTGCGTTATAATTTGCACTTGTAAGTTCCAATAAATGTTAAATTATTAATATGTCATCGATTAAAAACAATATTTGATCACTTTTTTTTACAAAAACGAAAAATAATTATACACAGAAAGTTAAGAGGTCAAAACCTGATTAATGATGCAAATATTTGTAAAACACGTCTTGGCCAACAGGAAACAATCTTCGCACATTAGTACGCAAAAAATATTAACAGATAAATTTCGTAAAACGGTTCAATTGATAATTACAAGTTTTAAATTTCATAAAATAGATTTTTGCCATTCGAATGGCAAGAAAGAAAAATCTAATTCCTAATGAAAATAATAAGAAATACAGAAATGGTGAGTGCCATTGAAAATACATGGTATTAGGGTATCTGACAATTTTTAACTATCTTTGTATGTATTTTAGGGTGGTCCTTAAAATGGTCATTTTCGAATTTCATTGCTCCCAGGGGTTCAAATGATTCCAAATTGATAAAAAACAATTCTCTAAAAGTTTTAGCTCTTAATATTAACATTTAGATAGAGCGCAATTCAATAAAACTTCGTATGGAAAAAGCATGGAAAAAATGTTGAAAATTTAAAAAAAATGTTTTAGGTATAACTTAGCGACAAATGAAGGAGCTTTATTCATCCATTTGTTTGCCAAATTACATCTAAAAAACATTTTTTAAATTTTTGAAAATTTTTCCATGCTATTTCCATACAAAACTTTGATTGAATTGCGCTTTATCTAAATGGCAAGAGCTAAAAAATTCAGAGAATTGTTTTTTATCTATTTGGAACCATTTAAGCCTCTGGGAGCAAGGAAATTCGAAAATGACCATTTTAAGGACCAGCCTAATGTATATATATATATATATATATATATATGTAAAATAATCTCGAACAATAAGTAGCAGATCTCACGTAAAGCACTTTGATAATTTCAAACATCTTACATTCAAAGCACGTTTTTTATTATAATTTATTGATGTTGAAAAATGACATCCAAATTATAAAGTTTCTTTTTGTGAAATACGGAATAATATCTTACAACAAAATCAATTGTAATAATCTTCTTATTATTATTTGCTCATTTCTGTTTATACTGTATTCTCAGAAGAAATAGAACTCTTGAAAACAATTTTTTATAAATTCATTATGTATGAATAAAATAAAATAAGCTATTTGTAAGTGGCATTATATCTTAAGGCAAGTTGCATAAACTTTTCTATACCTATGCATAATCAACTTAATCAATAAGAAATCAATATATTAATTAACATCCCGAAGGAGAAGCTTGTTTTCGCCCAAAAATCCAATTTGCTAATTTTATGTTTCCTCGACGTTTCAAGTCATTCTATATCGCTTGAGACCATTGGAAAAAGTATACCCCGTATCTTCAAAACTGCTACCTCTGCATTGGCAAAAACTAATCAGGATTATTCAAATTTTGTGAAGTTTTTTGAATTATTCAAATCGATTAATCCATGTTCCCAAAATCGTCTATGAAAATTTGTATTCGCACACACACACATATCCATTTTTTTGTTAAGGTATGCCAAAGTGATCAGAATCCTTCGAAACGTAAAATATATAAAAAAATTCATTTTAGATCTTTTTGCGATTACTAACTTACCTTACCCTACAGGAAGTTGGTAAATAAGATTTTTTCGCGAAAACAAACTTTTCTTTTAGGAAGTTAATAATTTATAAAATAAATTGATTATATCATAATATCAATTAACATTTGACAATTTTGCCATATCATTATTGTCATAACAAACCGATTACAATAAATCAATAAATACGTTTTCGTAATTACTAGATGTCATATTTATAGACAGTTGTAATTACTAAATGAAATAAAAAAAATACGTTTTTGTAATAATTAATTATTCGAAAAGATATCAACAAGACCATTATTTCAGTTTTAATTAATATATAGATAGAAATGTTAACAGCCAGCCAAATTGTTTATGGTAAACAATACGATGTCGATGGCCAAACAGAGATTAAATTCTTACACAAGCTATCAATTATTTTTTGTGCCAGATTTCTTTGATCAATTATAAGTCTCATTGCGTCAATTGTCTGTGTCCGAAGCTATCTCATCCCATCGCACTGGATGTTCGGGTTATGTCTCATTAAACTTACTGCAAATTTCGTTGTGAAATTGTAATTACAATAAAAAATTAAGGAATTTTTGGTTGTTCAATATTGAATTCACAAATATTTTAATGAATTCCTATCAACGAATCCGAATCAATTGAGTAATCATAATGAACGTTTTGAAACAGTAAATCATAAAACAATCGCGCATATAATTCTTGTAAATGTATACCTCTAGCAAACAATTAAATGATAATTGCAAGTTAGATTCAAAAAACTTATAGAACCTCAGTTTCAGACATGTATGAATTAAATCTTAATCATAAAGTTTCGAAATTTGTAAAAATATTCAATTACTATTAACTGTTTCTTGTGCAAAGAAATATAATTGCCGCATTATGAATATGACCATATTTTTTTCTTGATGGTAACTTGTAGTGAATGTGTAACCAAGTTAAAATAACTTGAAATTTTTTTTATTTATTTTTTTAACTTGCCGAAGATTGTTTTTGCTAGAAAATTCTATTGTCTAATTTTTATTAACGTTTTAAGTAATTCTGAATCGTTTGATGATATTTGAAAAAGTGTATGTGCGTATGTGTATGTGGGGCAATATCATATTTTTCATTTCATTAAATTTTATTAACTTCCCGTAGGGTAAGTTATAGTAATCGCAAAAAAATCGAAAATGAAAATTTTTATATATCTTTACGTTTCAGAGGTTTCTGAACATTTTGGCATACCTTAGAAAAAATGGATGTATGTATGTGTGTGTGTGTGTGTGTGTGTGTGTGTATGTGTGTGTGTATGTGTGTGTGTATGTGTGTGTGTATGTATGTATGTGTGTGTATGTATGTGCGGATACAAATTTTCGTCGACGATTTCGGGAACACGGATCAACCGATTTGAATAATTCAAAAAACATTCGATCCGTATTGATAAGGAGACGTGCTGATTAGTTTTTGGCAAAGGCAGGTCAAGCCGTTCCGAAGATACGGGGCAAAAAGTTCCGAAAACGGTAACTCAGTTTTTAAGAGAACGGAGCGTCCGATTTGAATAATTCAAAAAACATTTTATTTGTATTGACAAGATGAAGAATCGATACAACTTTCATAAAGGTAGGTCCAGCGGTTTCGGAGATATAGAGAAAAAAGTAAAAAAATGAG